CCTCCCGCTCCACAGAGATTCATTCAAATTCATATTGTATCATACAATTTTTTCCTCTACAGCTTCTGTCTAATGTGAATCAGAGGTTCAGAAGGCACAAATTAAATAGGTGTTTGAGGTTCTGCATAACCATACTCAGATGTTAGTTGTCCAGTATTAAATCTCTATTCTGCATCTGGATTATACTTACAAAAGCAGCACGTTTCATTTCAGCTGGCATAGTAAATGCTGACTGGAACAAATAGCTCTTAAATTGCATTTTTGGTAATACCTTTCCCATCATTTCATGAGGCATGTGAGGCATTTTGAAGAAAGGATTAATGATTTGCAGAGTGGAGGTGATTTGGGGAACCACAATTCAAGTAATCAATGACAAATGGTGAAGAAAGGTAGTTGGATAGCCTGGGCTTAAAATTTTGTAAAGTGATGTAATTGTTTACTGGTGGTTGTAGCATGCTTGCTTCCAAATCTGCAGTCTGTAGAGACCTGCTATAATTTTTCTCTACATGCCTCTATTATTTTAGTAACACAACAGATCTCTATCTCTTGTGTTTTTGTCAGTGTACAGTTTGGCAACGAGATGATCTCTTGAATGAAATTTGCTATAAAGCACTGGTCAATCTCAACTAATGTCTTCTTACAAAAATCTTGCTGTGGTTATGAGAATTGTAGTGCTTTCTGCTAGCTCTGCCTGGCACGATGCCCTGGCTTTGATAGTGATAAAAACTGGATGTGTGAAGGGAGAGCATAAGAAATGCATAGAGTTGTCCCCGTTCACACTCCCCCACCTTTCTGCCCACATCTGTGAGCAGGAGGCTACATCACATTTTGTAGTCCTATATGGTCCTATCCTCTGTGGATTTATGTAATCTGCTTTCTAATCTACCTACATTCTTGGAATTTCCTACATCCTATGACATTGAGCTCTGCAGTTTTGTGTTAGAACATGGAATTTAATAACATGCTAAACATTTCAGTAAATGCAACAAGAATAGACAATTCACTTACTACGTCTTTCTTATAATTTCATCTCCTCTCACAAGGTACTCCTACTCTCTCATTCTTTGTTCTTAGTCGTAATTTTGAGTTTGCATAATAGCTGTAGACACAGTGTAATGAAGACTGTGCTGCACAATTCTGGACTGTGTATCACATAGTAGCATGTCCCATTACTGCAGTGATGATTCTTTACCATCCTCTTGATTATTCAGAATGTAGAGAGGGACAGCAGAATTTCAGTATAAGAATTAAACCAACACTCTGTAGGTATATAAGAACATAAGCAACATTCTCTGCAGACATGTAAGAACATGTGAACTTCACAGGAAGGCTTCAGTTTCTCATTTAACAGAGTAACTTGAAATAGAAGTGAGTGGTGTTCAGATGAACATTGAAATTACTCGTTCTGTTGTGTGATGTCCTTATCTGACGTGGATTAATTCTGTGTACTTATATGCATCCTCCACATCAATTATGCACAAAATATACAACAAAACAATTAGTTCTGACTGTGCATGTTGTCGTGATTGAGGATTTAGCACCATAGACTTGTATTTACACGTAAATTTAGATTAATGGATTGCCACTTTTAAATCTGCCACTCCTCTTAAATTAAAGTACTGTGTTAGTTGAGCAAAGTTTTTTAGTTCCTGTAGTCCTGTTAGACAGGTTTATCATTGTGGCTTGTTCAGGTGATGACTTGTATTCTGGTGAACAACACCATAGCCAGTGTTTGTCTCTGCAGGGCCTGAGGCACTGGGGCATCTCTTAATGAGCACTGCTGCTGGTGGTTCTTTTTTTTGTCCTCTGACTGAACACTGCAAATTTAACATAAAGGTGAACATAATTTAATGCATTGTTAGTGTTTCTTCACTAGGAATTTTTGTACATTAATAGGCAGAAGAATCACATGTTGAGACAATAAGCTTGGGTTAAATTATTTTCTCTTACCATGCTTCTCCCTCATACTCTTCTTGCTCTTGTGGTTGTTTGTCACCATAAAGAGTTCAGACAATGGTGTTTCCAGTCATTGTTAATTTATATTGTACACCTTGGAAAGAAATAAAAACTGGTGGCAGATAATTTTGTTCCGAGACTCAAAGAACAAAGAAACTAAGGAGGATGATGAATAGTTGCAATATCCCAGAGAAAAACTTCAGCAGTGGGTACCAAAAGATGCATTTGTTTCTTTTTCATTTTGATCATTGAGATGAATGTTCCATAACAAAGGGCAATCCTGTATAACCAAAAGAATTTTCCAGGGCTGCATTTTGGAATCCATACTGAACTATGTTTCCATTGTTCGGATGCTTTTGCCTTTTTCAGTTGAGGCTTGTCGTGGATGACCAGAACTTTAAAGATGTAATTCTGTGCCCACCTCCAAGGCATTGCAGTCCTTAGTTAGCATCATGACCTGTCTTTCACAGAGATTTCCTTTCAGCCCTTTTCAGTTGCTTTTGCCTAAGATAATTCAAGAGTGCTTTAAAAAAAATCAAATGTGAAGCTATTGCCTTATATTACCAGACTTCTGGTTGTTCACAGAGTACATCTGTCGCTAAATGATGGTTGTCCTGAAAAATGGTGACTGAGAAATGGCTGGAGAAAACAAAAAGCAAGTCTGGTAATGTGGCTGAGATCCATTAGTGAGAGCCCATATATCTTCAGTCAAGATAAACAAATTTTGCTTTTCAGTGCATAGCTTAGAGAGACAAAAATTGTTGTGATAGGGTTTTTCTTTATTGTCAGAAAACAGTTATTATACACTCCATCTGAAATCATCTCTTTGATTTAAAGGAAAAAAACCCACCAGTGTGTATAACTGATTGATCTGGTTAATGCTTAGGTACCATTTGTGGGCATATATGTGTATCAGAGGAAATTTAGATTTTTATTTATTCCCCCTAAATCTGCTCTAAAGCTTTTGTGAAACGTTTTCTCTGTGTTCTTTCTGCACTCTGAAGGCCATGGTAGTTCTTCAGACAGATACGATGTTAAAAACTGAAAATGTGAGAAATAAGTTGTGGAACGTTTCTACAATAAAGAGTCATTATAATATACATCTATAGAGATATCAGTTGCCAACATGAAGTCTTAGAAGTGAGGTGAATATTTTCAGTCTTCTAAACTGTGTCCCTTTGATCTCCTTTTCAATGTGATGATGGGATCTGTTGCTCTTAGTATAGGCAAAAGTGCTTTTGGCTACAGCTGGAGTAAGAAACTATTTTGTTGTAGTGTATGGAAGGGTCCTCCAATGTCTGGGCTACTTTTCAGTGTGCATACCCATGAAACCTAAAAATCATGGAACAAATTGTATTTAAAATTAAAAATAAAAATATTATTGAAGGTCAGTGGAAATCTTGGTTTTCAATTAGCCTTTTATACAGGTGATGTTCTCAAGCTATGAATATAAGTGGCCAAAAAATATGAGAGCAAACTATGAAAATTCTGCCACACCTGCTAGTTTGGATATGTCATATTTATGATACAAAGGGTTTACTTGATTGAAAAAAGCTTTTGATGCAGCAATGTTGGAGGACCTCCATCATCATGGCTAGGCTTCACGAATGAAGATTTGGGAAGGGCTCTCTCTACCCACGCTTGTTACAAGCACGTTGGTGGCTAAAAGGCCAATGTGAGATAGACAAGTCCAGTTGCAAAAGGCACAGCAGAAGGACTCCTTAGATGGTATATTCTGCAAGACATGATTCTTTCTGCATTGTCTTTTCTCCTCGAGAGTGATCCTGCGTGCATTCTTGAAGGAAGCAGCAGTGTTATAGATAGTGTGTCTCCAGACCTCCCGATTGGAGGCCAGAGTAGACCAGTTATGTTGATCAATATGGCCAAGGCTGAGATGTTGTTTCAGGGAGTCCTTGAATCTTCTCTTCGGGGCTCCTCTCTTGCGGCAGCCAGTGGCAAGTTCGCCATAAAGCAGGATCTTAGGGAGGCGGTGGTCCTTCATCCTGGAGATGTGCCCTGCCCAATGCAGCTGTGTTCTCAGCAACAGGGCCTCAATACTTGTGACTGCTGCTTGTTCTAGAACAGATGTATTGGTCACGTAATCTGACCAGTGGATGTTAAGGATTGTACGTAATCTTTAGAAATGCCACTAGGATTTTATGTTGCAGGTCTTCAGTGAAAGGACTGTAGGTTTTATACTGTCAATTGGTTGTGAATTTTCTTTTTTGACGGCACAGTACATACCATTGTGTGGTTGTAAGGAGGCTTGAATGAAGGGAGGCATCAGAAGGAAAAAGTTAAAAGTCTTACTCTTTCCAGCCACTACCAAGCATAACTTCAGTCAGCATGCACTGCTGGTTTGTAGTTGCAGTAGACTGTAATTGTTTGCTGTAATTGAAATAGAGTGCTTGATGGTCAGAAGAGTAAGCCAAAGAGGCTAGATTTAAAATTCTATGGGAAAGAAGGATGATTTTGTGATAAGTATAAAAAACAAGCAGCCTTTTAATTGTTCTAATTATAAACATTTTATTGTAGAATAATAACATAATAAAAATATGCTATATTATCTTTAAAGTTTAATTAAAACCAAATACTTATACTAGAGAAGAACCCATAACCTCAAAGTGTAATTAATTTTCTTTTCTACATTTCCCACATAATGATGTGGGTTTTGCCATAGGAATTGTTCTAATTCAGAGCACGTTGGGAAGATCCTTGAAGAGTCACAATGTACCTTGAATCTCTTGGATTCAAAGGTCAATATTTGTAGCTATTTTGAGTTGCAAATGGTGTTTTTTATTCAAGCAGGAGGGGCAACTTATGCCCTTTAAAAAAAACCAATAAAAGTACACAGCATATTCTGTCAGTTTCTAAAATCTTGTAATTACATGCCTTTGTGTATCTGTCAATATTTTGTCTCTCTCGTTTTTGCTTGCTAAGGACGAGTAAGAAAACCATAATGCTGTGCACTTTTGCCTTGTATCTGATCTCCATGCAGTTATTCATAACACCCTTTCTGCTCCTGGTTTCTCTGCTTTAGTGTGAGCAATCCCACCTGATGAGAGAGCATGAAGATGTGCAGGAGCAAACAATGCTGCGCTACGAGGAACGAATCACAGAGCTGCACAGTATCATTGCTGAACTGAACAAGAAAATTGATCGACTACAGGGAACAACAATAAGGTACAGCAACTTCCTGGAAATCCTGGGCCAATGCAAGACAAGTGCAAAACATGGTGTGAATTATACTCTAAATATAATTTGATGACAACTTGAAGGTAGTTAGGCTTGTTGTGACTGGTGCTGAATAGCTGCCCATAATTAAGGTGTGTGTTCTGCAGAGTATCATCCCAAGACCTAGAAGTGCTGCATTCTCTCTGGCAAAATAACACTTTGCTAACCTAACAAGCACTGCAAGAAACTGCACTGTGCCATGTAAATACTCCTTTAGCATAATGTCCCGGGGAACCACGTAAGAGACAGCAAGGGTGTATAAAGGAAGATGAAGCCACCCAACCTGAAGCTCTGCTTTTAACTTTGTTTTGTGGCCTCCTGTAGATCATCTAAGTGAAATCATTTGTGGTGAGCATTATGGCTGAAATAGATTTCAGTAGGTTATTCACGTGCTTGTACTGGTATTTTTGACAAAACACAATGGTACAAATCACATTGTTGCCTGTCTTTGGAGCAGCAAGGCTTGGGGTAATACACTGGGTCATTACATGTTACTGTGTTAAAATAAACTGTGTATTAGACTACATGGAAACATTGTTCTCTCTTGTTTTTACCCATTATTCTCAATGTAGAGAATTTGGACTAGAATGCGGAAGGAGCTTCTTATAGTTTAGCTAGTGAGTATGCAACTAAACAACTAGAATCTATGGATTTCCTAGAGGATAGGAATTAGATTTCAAATTAGATTTGATGGTTTTGTGGGTAACATTGGCATGATGCTCTAGCCATGTAGCAAATTTTCAGTTTTCTTTACCTATTAGCTGCAATTTTTGGTAATGTGCTTTATTTGTCCTTCCTTTTAAATGTTTCTTCTAGCACAAGGCAATGTTGTTACGACTACTCACTTAACCTTTCATGAAAATATTTATATACTGAAACAAGAAGGTTTGGTGTACCATAAATAAGAGGAAGTATCAACACACACACACATATATATAGCACTTCAAAAGCAGTGGTAGAATCACATTATGTTCATTTTATTTAAGAAGATACTCTTGCCTATGATATGATCATAACTAGTGATGATCATGGTGAGATTTTTCAGGTATTTTCTATACTGGTAGTACTTCTCTGAAGAAAAATCCCTCTGACTCCCTTATGCATTCATGCTTGATACCTCTGCAGACAAATTTTCCATTTGTCTTGTTTCAAGTTGCCTTTCTTTTCAACATGATACTGTCCATACTGCCCTCCTCTCTGGTAAAACTCTACCAATTGAATAGATGAAAAGCAAAATCTGAGAAGCATGAGACCTGCATTGATTTTTTTTTCCTTGAATGACAGATGAACTCTATGACATTTAAGAAGAATATTACAAAGAATTCATAAAAATGGTTTGTTTGGGATCCCTGTGCCAAAGTAAATGCCAAGTGGTGTTCAATTACAAAATATTGGAATCAGGTGGATGCTCTGAATGTTTAACCACATCCATAAATGAATCAGCTGTGGCATCCACAGGGAAGTGAGGTGTAAGAACCAAGCCTGATGGGAAGCACATGTTGCTTCTCATGAAAATTGCAGTTTTTCTGCCCCTTTGGCGGGGGGCTAGGCCTTTAAAGGCATCAGAAAATACTGCTGCAACACCACTGTCCTGCTCCTCCAGTTTGATTCAATCATACGAGAGCTGTAACTGATTTGATATTAAGGCTAAAAAGTGAGTTGGTGATACTCATGTGCAAGTAGACCAGCCTGATGTTGCCAAGGTTCTCTGTCCTTTGACAAGATGTATGTCACTCCTGTTTTCTCTCGAAATGTATACAACTTAGAAGACAGCAAAACCTATCAAATGGATCTTCCCAATTATAGAGTCATATTGTAAATACTTGGACATAAAGGATACACCGAGTAACTCTGAAGCAGAGAGAGGATTTATAAATTATACAGTGTGTACTAAAATGGACTTATGTCTACATTAAAGATGAATATTTATGACTTCAGAAATTTTTTGTGTTGCCTTAGATTCATTCAAACATGATTTTTTTTCTTAATCCTATCTTTGGCTGTCAAAATCATCTGTAACTTCAGCATATGACTGTTTTTCTTAGATATCAAATAGAGGTTTGGGAAAAGGAAAAGGAGAGAGATCTAACTGCTTTTAGTTCTAAACCAGTGGCTGTTTGGGTACATTTCTGCAACTCTAAAAATAGACTATAACAATGCAGACAGAAATATACTCTGTTCAACATTGGAGCCTGCTAAGAATTATTTGAAAGAATTGTCAAGAAGAAGAAGCCTGTAACCTATTACTGGAAAGCCACTGGTTTAGATTTACAGCTTTTAATCTGAAATATGTTTAGAAAGTAGGTTGTGTTGGAGTTAATGAAGAAGAAGGAGAGAGAATAGACAACAGCATCAAATGAGATAATACACGGCACTTACTGTCACATTTACATAGTGACCTGCAGGTCTAATTGTAGCTTCTAAATACGTGCTAGGTAGAAGCTAGCACACTTTGGATTCAATTCAAATGGCAGTGTGGATGTGATATTGTTGGCTTCAGCATACAATGCCCACCTCTACCTGCCCTCAGTGATTAATTCCCATGTTGTCTCAAGTGAACTAGTTCAGAGGGACCTCGCCTGTCTATACACAGGGTGCAGTGAATCTCTGAGTTGCTGTGCACATGCACCTGTAGTATTTTCTATCTGAGGGTCTTAGAGAGAAATAAAATATATTTTTTTAAATATATATTTTTATATATATGTAGATATATAAAAAAATATATATTTTTAAAATTATATTTATTTAAATAAAGTGTGTGTTGAAAAACTGCTGGCACCTAAAGTGTGAAGCAATTTGGAGCTGTGAAGAAAACGTGAACCTTGTCAGCATTGTGGAAGTACTCATCTTTGGTGTGAAAGGATGCTGAAAAGTGTGCATTTTGCTCCTATTTGAACACATTTTCCTCAGTGTCTGTGCAGCACTTGTGATCCTTGGGTGCACCTGAACATGAAGAAAGCAATTAGTGCAGAAGTACCTGAAAACCACACTGTTTTTTCTCCAACATTGATCACTCTGTGTCTAGAATGACTTGATCTGGTCTTAATTGCCTCCAACTCACCATGACATTCCAGCAAGTGGAAACTATCAGAGCCCGTAGCAGAACAAGCAGAACCTGCTTACCTGCTTTCTCTATCCAGGCTGTCCATGATGGCAGCAATGAGAAAGTTGTAATGCTTCCACCTCCTGGAGTCAATTGCCAAGTACCTTGCATCTGCAGTGCCTCTGGAGTCCCCTTCTCTTTTGGGGAAAGATGAAAAGCAGTATCTTTTGTTGCTGTCAGCATCAGTTTCAAAGGCAGAATTTATATTTGTGATGTATCGCTGCCCTTGAATTCCCCCTTGTTTTTACCCTCAGTCTGTTCCCACTGGGATTGGTGGTGGAGTGATTGATTGACGTAGCTGTCACTTTACCAGAAATGGATTTCTGATCTTTCTGGTCAGATCCTAGAAGCATTAGTTCACTTAGAAAATGAGTTCTCACCTGAGTCATCAGAAGGGTGTGAGTTCTGCCACGTGACATACTTTTCAACTGCTCCAAGATACTGAGGGTACTTAAACCAAAAAACAAGAACTAGCTAGCTACATGAAGCTGTGTTGTGTTTTAAACAGAAAATTTATGCAAGAAAAGCCCAATAAGAGTGGTGAGAAATTACTATAGCATGTGCCATTGTTTTAGGGTCAGTAGAGCCATTTGTCCAATTAAGGTTTTAAAATGTAGGACTAATTGTTTCAGAAATTAAAAAATAAATTACCTTCAGATGAAAAATTACAACTGTTTGAGTGCTTGGTAATTGTTTTTGTCCAAAGCTAATTACTACTGGCTTGTTTTGTGGCTAATAATAAACTAATTCATGGATGGAACATTAACTCACTCTTATGTGTCTTCATTTCACTATTTTAATTCCTGCTATTCATGATTGAGTTCTCACACTGTCTGAAACAAATATTGCATGATAACTCAAAGACCTTTCTTTGATCTAAGTCTCTGTTAACTGGCTGACCTGCATTTTGTTTAATAGTGGTCACTAAGTGCTTCAGATAAAGTCACACTTTCTTTGCACTAAAACAAATGTAAGGGGTAGAAGAGCATAGTAGTTCCTGTAGAAAATACATCTCAGTACTTTGGGAAACCCTGCTTGGCAAGCAAACTGAAATTTCCTTTTTTGAGTTTTTGAGACGAGTTCATAAGTTGTCACCTCTGCAACTCTGAGAGCAGGCTTCACTTCTGTTATTGATCCCTGTGTGCAGGGGCCATCTTCTCTGCTATTTTGCCTGAAAAATGCAGACACAAGTCCAGGCTGAATCCTACAAGAAACACTCATCACCATACGCACAGTGTATGTGGCATACGCACAGCAAACCTAACATTACAGATACCCCTCTCAGATGCAGATCCCCAGACAGGTCTTTGCTATTTCTAACTGTTTCCAAATGCAGACAGTTTCATTCTCCCACCTTTCTGCTAATCTGCTGCAAAATTAATCTCTTCATGTAATTCAATGTGAAACAGAATGATAGCTGTTTTTCTACTTTCAGAGGGGCTCTGCACCTGGATAAACTGATGTTTTCCTTATGTTTAAAAGAGATACTTTAATGTAAAAACAGTCACTATGAAAGTAAAAAAAAATTCAGAGTCAAATCAGTAAGAAAAAATGTTTACAAATGTCCTCAGGAAAAGCTGTTATTCATTTACTTATCTTCTCCCCCAGTGCTTTGAACTCTTTGTGTGGAGACAGAAGGGAAAAGCCTTAATTTTTTAAGCTCATTAGCTTTAGCTAAAGTATTCTCTGTCCTCAATTATTTTAGTTGAACCAGCTTGACAAATAAGTTAAAACCTAGGTAACTGAGGCTTTTTGTTTTCCACTAACTCCAGCAGTTCGGTGCAATACTCACTTATCTGTTCTCTCTTTTGGGAAGAGAAAATGAGAAACCTACCTGTCTTTAAGAGCATTTTGATACACATATGCAGGTATATGCATGTGCGTGCTTGCTTTGCACACGAGCTGATGACATCCTTGAACTGAGAAAGAGACCAAAACCAGTTATTTCTAATCCACTTTGGAATCAAAGCTACTTGTGCTGATCTGTGTGAATTGTCAGTTGGGGAGCTGCTGCAGAGCAGTGTATGTCCTTGCACACATCCTTGCTAGCACTCAGGTCCACCCATTGTTTCCTTCTACAGTGGTCTGGAGTAATAATGAACTTGGAAATAAAGAAATGGAAACCAGGCACTGGCTGCTGCAAGTGGGTGTTATGGGCATTGCACAGTTACTTTGCAGTGAAGGGTATAAAGTCTTCTCTACTGACTGAACAAAACTTCTGTGGATTGTACCCTGTGGCTCAGCTGACAGATCTGAAATAAGTGTCACAGGAGATATTTCCTCAGAGGATTTTATTTCTGCCTTTGCTCTGTCTCCCAGGGAGGAGGATGAGTACTCAGAGCTGCGGTCGGAGCTCAGCCAGAGCCAGCAGGAGGTTAACGAGGACTCGCGCAGCGCAGACCAGAATTCCATTTCGGTACCAGAGAATCAGTCCACCATGGTCACTGCAGATATGGGTGAGTTGTGATTCTTGGTGTAGACATGATGCCTTCTCACAGCAGAGAGGTAACATATAGCCTTTGAAATGCAGATCCAAACGTTTGATGAGGAACTAAATTAATCTGAGATGTGCTAATCACAACTAATGCTGAACTTCTACACGACTTATATGTGACGTAACCTCTGTGCCTTGTTGATAGAATCATTAAGTTTGGAAAAGACCTCTAAAATCATCAAGTCCAATCTTCAACCAAGCACCACCACCATATTCACCATTAAATCATGTCCTCGAGTGCCATATCCACACAGTTTTTGAACACTTCCAGGGATGGTAATTCCACAGCTTCCCTAGGCAGTCTTTTCCCTCTCCGTGAAAAGGTTTTTCCTAATATCTAATGTAAACGTGCCCTGGTCCAGCTTGAGGCCATTTCCTCTCATCCTATCACTTGTTACTCGGGAAAAGAGACCACCCCCATCTCTTCTCAGGGAGTTTTAGGGAGTGAGCCTCCTTTTCTCCAGGGAAAACCACCTCAGCTGCTCCTCATCAGACTTGTGCTCCAGACCCTTCCCCAGCTCTGTTGTCTTTCCAGCACCTCAATGTCCTTCTTGTAGTGAGGGGCCCAGAATGGGACACAGGATTTGAGGTGTGGCCTCACCAGTGCCCAGTACACTTGCCTAGTCCTGCTGGCCACTGGCTGTGTAGGATAGCTATGGAGTTTAAAATGGAATATTGTTCATGAGAGCTCATGAATTTTGGGAAAGAAGAAAGGGGTGAAAGATATTCACATACCTTACATGTGCCTGTAAAGTAGTCTTAACTTTAGAAAAGAATTGCTGACAGATTAAAAGTTAGGGGGGAAAGCATGGGTAATGGAACTCTTTTAACGCCTAATTATAGAGGATGTCCACACTTTTTGAAAACTGAGGGTCTTTTTAAAGCATGGATAGGCATAGCTTGCCAAAATGGATTTAGACAAGGAGGCATCTGACACAAGCCATTCAAACAAAGTGGACCTCCAGACAATCTGCAACTCATTTTTTTCTGGTTAAGAACTAAGAAGGCAAGTGCCTTTCCTTCAGAATTTCATCTATTTTGTCATTCAAGCACAGTTACTGATTAATTGGAGAACCTCCACATAAGAAATAATTTCTCCATACATTTTGCGGTGTAGGCATGAGCAGATCCTATACCTTCAGCATGATGTTTTAAGTGTTTGGGCACAATTGATGAGACCCATAGCTGTAGACTAGCAGAAATCTGGTGTGATCCTCACTATTCAGGACTCTGTTCAGAATATTATTTCTACTCACCATACCATATTGTTTATAAATGTAAGACCAGCCACTGTGTTTCAATGTCTTTATTGAAACACTGATAGAACAGTATGTTCTGTAACAGTATCTATGTAATTGTGAGATGTCTGACCGACAGAATTCAAAGTATTAACAAAATATTGGATGGAGTCAAGATATTTTAGTAGAAGTTTTTATATTCTTAAAAACTTAATTTTTTTACCTTCAAAAGTTACGTTCCTACTTGAACAGATTGTGATATGAGGACTTTTTTTTTTTCCCTTTAATTTGATGGGATTTAAGGTCGATGGATTGTAACCATCATCTGCTACCAAAAATGTCATGGTTTAAGAGCCCCAAAAATCCAATTCCCTAGTTCTAGCCCCCTCCCACATCTCAGCCCAATGTGAGATGGGTTTTCCAGACACCACACAAGACTCAAATTGGGGGGAAGGGAATATATTACGAAACTGTACAAAATAAATAGCATAATACATCATATACAATCTTAACTAACTCTGCCATGACATGCAGTATTTACAAATAATCAAATCTCTTCTACCTTCCAAATAAAAGTCCAGGAGGGAAGAAGGAGAAAGATCCTTTCCACTTATGAGCAGCAAGTCTCTCTAGGGCAGCAGTGTCTCGTTCTCTTTTCCAATGTAGCAGCTGCAGCTGGATCTTTGCCAATACACACGAGGGGATATCCAAGCCCCTTGGCCCTCCGTCCCAAAACGAGGGTCTTCTCTTCTGTGGGCTGTGTTCACCGGGACAAAGGTCACTTCACCACGTCATACCACGAAGCGCAGGGGTCTTCGTGACAGTCCCTATCTTTGGGGATTCAAGCCCCTTGCAGAGCTTCTGGCTCTGACTCAAGCTGGCTGCTAGCTTCTTTGTAGCTGCAGTGAGGGGGGACCCAAGGTCACCCCCTCCACACACACATTTCATCCTGGCTGAGCTCTCAGGACAATTGAGCTTCTTAGCTCCTCTTTCTGCAGTGCTGCTGTACTTCAAGACCCCTTTCAAGTGGGGGTCCACCACCTCCTCTCTCTCTCTCTCTAAGAGGGGTCTCCAGGGAGTTTGGGGAGTTTTGGTTGTTCAGTTCTTACCCAAACTCTCTCTCTGTAGTGGCTTAGTCCTGCTCTCTGCTGCTCTCTCATCCTTCAGACAACTCTGTATCTTCCCTCTACTCGGCTGCATGTCGGCTTCTGCTGCTTCTCCCTTATCTCTTCTGGCTCTCTGCCACTGCTTCTCCGTTCACTGCTGCTCTGCTGCTGCTCCGTCTGTCCACTCATGGGGAAGAAAACTCCTTCAGCTTTCTAACTACAGGTACTTAGCCCAGTTTAACACTGTTCCAAGTTCCTGCAGTCCCCAGCTGGGGCTGGGGGGGAGGCAGAGCCCCCAAGGGGCTCCTGCCCCTACCTCGTGGCTCACAACATGACTTCTTCTTCTTCTCCAACAATTACAACCTCTTTCTTTTCCGGTCTGCTTGTGATATGTTTATATTTTGCAGGAGCACTGATTGGGTCAAACCCCAAGGGTCACCACCCCCTTGAGGGTTACCACTTTTATAACTCTAGGGAGGAAAAACTGTTTCCCACCACCACAACACTCCACCCCCCGCTCCTGTGAAATATAAACATTATCACACTTAGACCGGAAGAGAAGAGTTGTAGTTGTGGTAGTTGGAGAGGTGGCCATGTTGTGAGAGCCACAAGGAAGCAGGGGCAGGAGCCCCTTGGGGGCTCTGGCCCCTCCCCAGCCCCTTGGCTGGGAGCTGCAGGAACTTGGAACAGTGTTAAACTGGGCCGAGTTCTGTAGCTGAGAGCTGGAGGAGTTTTCTCCACCGTGGACAGCAGAAGCGGCAGCAGCAGAAGCAGCAGCGTATGGAGGGCAGAGAGCCAAGAGATAAGAAGAAGCTGCAGAGGCGGCATGCAGCCGAGGGAAGACACAGAGTTGTCTGAAGAGAAAGAGAGCAGCAGCAGAGAGAGAACTAAGCCACTACAGAGAGAGAGTTTTTGGGGTAAGTACTCAACCAAAACTCCCCCAAACTCCTTTGACACCCCTCCTAGGAGGAGGGAAATGGACTCCTGCTTGAGAAGAGTCTCGGAGTGCTACAGCACTGCAGAAAGAGGAGCTAAGAAGCTCATTTGTCCTGAGAGCTCAGCCAGGACGGAATGTGTGTGGGGGGGTGACCTTGGGCCTCCCCTCGCTGCGGCTACAAAGAAGCTAGCAGCCAGCTTGAGTCAGAGCCAGAAGCTCTGCAAGGGGCTGGAATCCCCTGAAGATAAGGACCGTCGCGAAGACCCCTGTGCTTCGTGATATGACCGTGGTGACGTGACCTGTGTCCTGGTGAACACAGCCCACGGAAGACCCTCATTTTGGAGACGGAGGGCCGAGGGGCTTGGATATCCCCTCGTGTGTACTGGCATAGATCCAGTTACCGATGCTGCATGGAAAAGAGAGAGAAACTGCTGCCTTAGAGGGACTGCTGCTCTGAGAGAGGAAAGGATCTTCCTTCTTCCTTTCTGGACTTTTATTTGGAAGGTAGAAGTGATTTGATCCACTGTAAATACTGTATGTCATGGTAGAGTTAGTTAAGATTATATGTGATGTATTATACTATTTATTTTGTTGTACAGTATTGTAATATATATCCTTCCCCCCAATTTGAGTCTCATGTGGTGTCTGGAAAACCCATCTTACACTGGGTTGAGATGTGGGAGGGGGGCTAGAACTAGGGAATTGGATTTTGGGGATCTCGCACCATGACATTTTTGACCAAAAAAGTGAAACTAATCCGCTTTTTAACATGTATTTTGGTATCAAGGCTTTGATTTTTTTTCTTCATGGAATGGAACTGGACCAGGATTTGTGTACATTAACAGCAAGTTGTCTGTTTAAGTTTCGACTAACAGCGGGAAACAAGGCAATAAAATTATAGTGTAGAAGCCTAGAAGATAAGGGGGCTGATGTGGATGTCTCAAAACACGGATGGCCAGATAGATGTGGAGCCAGCCAAGGATTATTGATAATAACAGCCAAGGATTGTTGATAATAACACACTATGAGAAGAACAGATGTGGCTGGAGAAGGGGCATGTATGGAGGAATGAGCAGCACTTTTCTGGGAAAAATGTTCTTGATCAGCTCCTGTAGAGATAAGTACAACACAGTACACATCAAGTGCAGAAATGAGGATGAGAATTGAGCATGGACTGTAGGGAGGGATCAAGACCATCCAAAGCCCCAAAGCCTCCGACCCATTTCCAGAAAGGTCTGAAAGGACCGGCTGACCATGCTAACTGATTTGCACAGAAAGCGAGAAACTGATCTCCAGAGCAGGGAAAACTTATCTATAAACAGGTATCCCCACAAAGCTCAGGTGTGCTTGCTCTGCGTGTGCACTCCAGCACCCCGAACACCCCAGCTGGATCATGCTAGAGCCAGGACTGGTCATCTTTTTCTCTCTTTTTTCTCTTTCTCTCTCCACCTGTTTAATTCATCTTTCTCTTTCCCTCTTCCCTTTCATGCTACCCTGTCATCCAAAACCCACTGCTGTGTGCTTATGTAGTAGGACAGGGACTAGCAAACCAATTTCCATGCCAAGTGTATAATCTACTAATAAAATTTTATGAGATTTTGTGGACTTTTGTCATTCCGTTGACCACAAGCATCTACAAATCTGGGGTGCTCCCTTCCCCTTAAGGGTGGGACATAACATATAGCAATAGACAAAATAAGAATCCCAGCTGTAGGGATTCTTGCATTTCTTCCATATTTTCCTTATATACATAGACTGTCTTTTTTGGGGGTCTGTTTCCATATTCTTGAGAAAATAAATTATGCGCACACACACACACACATATAGATACACAAATAAGTATATTTTTTATCCTTCTAGATATAGGTGTATAGAGATAAAATAATCATGATATAATAACCATGTGCGTGACTTGCTTACTGCCCTAATGGAGTGAGCATCAGTGACTTAGTAAAGCCTCATGACACGCTAATGCATGTGGATATGCTGCTCTATTGCTACAGGCAATAAAACACCTAGAGCTAGAACTATGAATGCTCTCCAGTATATCTTGCAGATCTTGTGATTCGGTTTCTGTCAGAAATGGGATTCTCACATGACAAACCATTATTTTATAGGGAAAATGTTATTGTAGTAACAAAACCCAGCACACAAGATCTTCTGAAGGTTGCTTAAATGTGCAAAATGTTTGTTATAGAAGATGCTATGAAAACAAGTAAAGTCAAGCAAACAAAACAGGTTTTTACAAGTGAGCATCCTACTTGCTATATGCTGCTTGTAAGTGAGTGCTGTTATCATTTATAAAGGGCTTTTTGGTATTATCATAAAAGATGGGTGGCTGCTAGACGGAAACCAGTGAATATGACTTGCGATAAAGTTTTGTGTGTTGCCCCTTCACATTTTTCATGCAGTGCCGTGACATCACTCTAAACTCTTCGTGTTGTTCAGCAATAGATTTGTGTTTCATAGCGTCATAGAATCATAGAACTTGCTGAGTTAGGGACCCCTCGGGATTATCGAGTCCAACTTCTGGCCCTGCACAGGACCATCCCGAAGAGTAACACCATGCTTCTTTAATCTCCTGTGAGAACCACAGCTATGAGGCTACCATGGAATTCTGACCATCATAAAGCACTTGCAGCAGTAATACAGAAATAATGCTCTCCAGCAAGAGTGCATGCCACTGTTTTTAGTAGGATATAGGAGCTGTGGGTACACTACCATCTCATAATGCACCACTTGTGTGCTGTGCTGTGGGTAGCTATTGCAAATTCTTACCTAGAAAGCCAGAAATACTAAATAGCACATCTGAGGAGACATCACAAAGGTGAATTCTACTACATGTAGGAACTACCACTGTCTGTCACTAGAGGAGAGCCTAAGAAAAACGAAAATAATTCATGAAGTGAGCCAGTAAGGTACAGAGACCCACTTGTTTTCACATAAATGGAGGATGCTATGACAGTGCGCAAGGCACTAGAAGAGGTTAGCCTAACATCAGGAGAGGAAGTGATAATCTGCTGCATTTTATAATTAAAATAGCATTGTGGTATAAGCTGCTAATATGGTTGTAGTATGGAAAATAACAAAAAATAATCTGTGGTGTTATGATCTCTGAATATTCTTCTGCAGTTGCAAAAGAAGGAATAGCTACTAAAATAAAACATAGATTCATAGGGATCATTTCTGTAAACACCAGGGTTTTTTTAAGTCAGGCAGTATCTAAGTACAACCACAAAAGTTCCTCTAAAAAGCATCAAGTCATAACATCAATGAATGTAACAGACAGAAAAAACAGTTGAATTTACAGAGAGAAACCTATGAGGGTAATAAAATCAGGATAATTGGCTTTGAATGGTCGAAAGAACAACATAAAGAATTGTCTTACGATATGAGCATGTGATGTCTTAAAATGTTCTTCAGACAAGAGGGGTTTTTGAAGAAAGAATGAGCACTTTAGATAAGCAGAGGGACTGTTTTGTTAGATTGGAGGTAACTCATTATTTAATTTGGTGTGGTTATGGTATTTAAGCCTATCAGTTGGTGAGGAAAAAGTGGCAGAGTGCGAGGACATTCCTTGAACAATATCAGTCCTGGCTATTCTGCAGGAGGCACTTCTTGGGTTAAAGTTTGCTTTTTCATTGAGTCACTAATTGTTGTGATATTTGTTTTGTTTTGTCTTGTTTTCTTTTAGATAACTGTAGTGACTTGAATTCAGAACTGCAAAGAGTGCTGACAGGTCTGGAAAATGTTGTCTGCGGGCGGAAGAAAAGCAGCTGCAGTTTGTCAGTAGCAGAAGTGGACAGACACATTGAACAGCTCACTACTGCCAGTGAACACTGTGATTTAGCCATTAAGGTAATGGTAGCATTAGGCTGTAAATGCAGTGTTGCCTGACAAACCTAATCACTTCTGTAGTAATAACACTTCACTTCCAAAGGTGCCGGAGTATTTCACATGAATCAACTCGAGTTCACAGTGTTGGGTAAGTAGTAATACACCTGTATTACACGAGTTCTCCAAGGCTTGGGAGGAGCTACTAATGTACTTTTGATCACAAATCAGAAATGTATTTGTCTTATGCTCATTTCAGAGGTAAGAGAAATGGGGACACTCAGCACTTAATTTACTTTCTTAGGCAAGTTTGCTTATCCAGTAAACAGGTTGTCACTTGCCTGAGGTCCTACAGCTGATCGTTGACTGGTAACTGAAAACACAGTACATATGCCTAAGTTGTCTTGGCTGTCTTAAAATATAAAGCCAATTTAATGTGAGGCATGTGTGGTATGTTAGTTCAAATGAGGCAAGTCAGACTCAGGAACAAGTAATTCAACTGATACCTGTGTGTCTTGCTTGTGTTGTACACGTAACAGAACAAGAAGAGAGTTGCCTGCTGGCTCATGTAACAAAGGGATTGCAATTCAGAACCTGAAAGTGAGAGAGACATAGAGTATCTTATATGCAGGGGAAGACCTGAAAAAGTTTCTTTGTGTCAAATGGAAAGGTGTCAGTGACTCATTTATACAAGAAAAAATAGATGACAGTTTGCTCTTCAAGAGGGGTGGACTGTGACCGTTTTAGATGGCTTTGACAGCTCTTTGGCATACTACTGGGAAAAGTTCCCTCTCTCCCTGGTAGAGCCTGAGGAATATAATGAAATAAAAAAAATATAATGTTGAAAATAGTAATTTGAAGAATGTGTGTGTATTTGAGAGAGAGAGAGAGAAAGGGAGACAGACTGACTTCTGGTCTCTTGGCATCGGTATTAAAGCAGTTTATTTGAGTGTCTCAGAGGGTTAGGATCAATGCTTTGAATGTTACCAAGTAGTATTTGGAGTTTTAGGGTTAACTGTTTTCAGAAGTCAGTATTCACCAAGAGAGAGACTGTGGATCCTGGAAAACAGGTAGAGATCAGTCTGTGTGAGATCCACAGAGGTATCTGATGTGAGATGAGATCAAGACGTCTGCAGGAGTTGGATTCAACAAAGTGTCAAAATATCTGCCAAAACCTCAATTCTCAAGCCTTTTATTTTAATCCTGTTTTTTACTGTTGATTCACGTTAACTACTGTCACACTTTTATAATGGTAACTAACTAGTTTCTTCCTAGTCGAAAAACCAAGCCTTTTTATCTTCATGTGATCTGTATATGCATAGCCATTTGGGGGGGAAAGCTTTTCCCCACTGCCTGTACTTTAGAGGCTGGTATTGTTTGTTTGACAAGTGATAGCACACAAAGATTATTAACCTTTCAGGAAGATAGGAATCTATGTGATATACTTGATTATGCTCTAGGGAAGTGTGTCACCAATGTGTTTAATATAGCAAAACCTACACTCAGAGCCCCTCTCTACCATTCCACCCATGGCGGCAGGTCATTCTCCTTTCCTGCTTCCTCAGACAAAGAACTGAGAGGTTTTTAAAATGGATGGAATCATGAATGGAAACCTGAAGTATTCTGACTCTCTTTTGCTTTTGACTGTTGGCTTTTTTGTTCACCAGTGGACAATGTGTTGAATCCTTCTGCTTTGATGGTTAAATGTCAGTGGGTTCCTTCTAATGCTGTTGGTGGTAAATTGTTTTTTTGTTTCTTTCATCCAAATCATGTGACCCTAGCTAACTCAACTGTTTCTGTCACACAAAAAGCTGAAAAGACTTTGAAATGAGATTTAATCATAAATTCTGGTAGGAATAAATTCTACCATTGAGTTATGCCATGTGAAGGAGTACTTCTTTTACCTCTTTCAAACCTGATACTTAATGATTTCATCTGATGTCACATCTGTAACACAACACTCCTTGTAAAGAAGTTAAGGCAGAGAGTACTTATGGCGGTGTCAGAGAAAAGACTGGAATTACCATGATATGGCATCCTGACCTGTGCTCAGAACACTGTATTGTAATTCAATCCTATGCTCTGTGAAATTATACCTGAATTTATCTGCTGTGCAGCAGATAAAACTGCTCTGTGATACTGCTCTGAAAAAAATAAACAACACTTAGATATATCCATGTAAACAGATATATCCAAGTACAATTTTTATGTTTTATTTACCATGGTGGATGGTAGCGTATTGGTCATCAAACTGGAGAATTGTGGTAATAGTCTAGTACTTGTGTGGACCTGTGATAGCACTGGAGCCATGAAAAACAGCAGCAGCCTCTCTGTCTGAAGATACGTCTGTGGTGTTAAACCACTGCTGCTACTTCCTCATGGCAGTCCTTCCTCTTTTGATGTTGCTATAGGGTTATCACCCCCAGTAGTGCTCTGAGGATGAGAAGAGGCTTGGAAAAGGGAGGGGTTGGAAAAACAGCAACACTCAGGAGCATGGGAATAAGGAGTTAGGAGATAGCAGCAGAACTTTGTGTTAGGCAGGTGAGAACACAGCAGGGGAAGTTGAAGAGGGGAAGAAGGGACAGGAGAAGACAACAACAAAGAGGCACTGTTTAAAATAAAACTGGCATCATCAAAAGAGATTTCTCGTGCCATTGCAGAGCTTTTCTTCACATTATAAGATTAACCGCCCTCTGCTTATTCAGAACTTGAACTCATTGTCATGCTGTGTTGAAATAATTTACCTTGTCATAATTTGAGACCTATAGGTCCAAGTGAAGCTAATGTAAGGGAGAGCTGCAGCTTCTTTCATCTTACAGAGATGTTGCAAGGCATTACTCTTTTAGAAAAGTAGTTTCAGCTTACTACCAAATGTGTAAGTAGAATTATGATGTAGATGCTCTGTCAATAAAATTTTATAATTATGACTCTAAATGTATTACAGTTTTATTGAAGAGAGACATGAAATATGATTTAAAAGGATAAACTGAGCTTGACTGTGAAAGGTTTGTCCCTGCTTCCTCTGTAGAGACATTTCAAACTAGTTGTTAAAAATATGTTTTTGCTTTTGTCTTTTCCTTCTCACCAAGGAGTCTTGCTGTAGCCAAGATTTATTCTTTAAAATTATTGCATTGATAAGCATAAATAACCAACTTGTCATTGTAATGGACAAATAATAAGATTTGATACCTTTAAGTCAGATAGTGCTGAAAACACTGGGAAAATTTCTTGCAGAAATAAAAAAAAAAAGGAAATTGTGTTTCCAACTTGGTTTGTCATTTTCAGCTGTACTCTAATTGGTTCTTTTAGTCCCTCCTGATTTAAGGAAATAAACAAGGCAGTAATTTTTGTTATATTTAAAATCCTGGAGTATGCTGAATTGGAAGGGATCAGTTAGAATATAAAAGTTAAGTACTTTTGAATAAAACAACTAAATAGACTATTTTTGACCTTGGTGCATGATTTATCTTCCATATTAGATGTAGAAGTATAGGCTTTAGCCATAGCTTGGTTTTGGATTTTCCAGTGAAATGAAACTTTCTGCATTGCTAGTTACATCATATATTCCTTTTATTTTCTGTATTTCATCCCATGATTTTAATGCATACTGCTTTCAGAGAAATTCAAAAGCTTTTAAGTGACATTTGGAGTGGTTTTGCCATTTGAACACAGGCACAGCATGCACTGTGTACTGAATTCAGAACTGTATGTTGTTCCCTGACACATTGTGTTTCAGTATGTTGAATGACCAGTCTGACAGTAAGTTTAGCCATGGCAGTATTCCTTGCTGGTGATGGGTGAATGTAGTTTGGAAGTTGTTGAATGTCCCCAGTACTGAATTGTGCCTACAAGGCACAGTCCTGAGCAAGGAGGTGGGACGGGAAGTGCTGAATGACGCTATATGTCCCAGAGAAACCCAGCACTTTTGCAGGCATTAGAAAGGCTGTAACATCTTCTGGAATGATGGAAGCCTAGCCAAGGCCAGAGTTCTTTTTTTTGTATTGCTGTCACATCAAGGATAGAACAAGCTCAGGGATATGGGAAAGAAGAGTCCTCTTTTTATCCCCTCCTGCTCTTTTCTTTGCCCTTTTGTGATGTTGGTCTATGACTGAGAAAGGCCCCATGCAATGCACATTCACAGGCTGCTACTTTCTGCCTGTTACTCAGCAGGGAAACAGAGTAAGTACAGGGCTCACCCATGACAAGGAGTCATTAAGTTGTTATAAAGTGTTCTGTGATGAAACTGCTGGCATTGCTGTCGTTCACATGTGACATATTTTATTTGCATATATCTGTCTGCTTCAGTACGAAATATTTTAATAAAATAGTCAAAGAAAATAATAATTTTGTTGGATATTACTCAGCAAACAAAAGAAGCAAACTAATGGTGTTGGGGGGCTGCATGTGTACATATAAGAATACAGAGTTACAGCCTGTTACACACTTCTGTCCTGTGTACCCATTAGTCCCACTCAGTCATCTTTGCTTCTTTCTTGTTTTTGATGACTTTATTTTCACAGACTGTAGAAGAGATTGAGGGTGTACTGGGACGTGACCTTTACCCAAACCTGTCAGAGGAGAGATCTCGATGGGAGAAGGAGCTCGCTGGCCTACGAGAAGAGAATGAAAGCCTCACGGCCATGCTGTGCAGCAAAGAGGAGGAGCTCAACAGGACCAAGGCCAGCATGAACGCTGTCCGCGAGGAGAGGGACAGGCTGCGCAGAAGGGTAAGGCTGCTGCAGAGATGAAGGCTTCTTGTTCCTCTGAGCCTGTGTGATTATGTCACCAGAACAAGCCTCTCTTTAACCTCACTTCCTCTACTGGCTATAGGGCTTTTTGTTTTTAAAGCTGGGTTATACAAGTGACAAAACTGGGACAAAACTGAACATATTAGAAGAAGAGTGTGTGATAAACAGCCGGTGTGTACAATAACCTGATGTCAGAAATCATCTGTTAACAAAAAACCTGATATTCATCTTCAAGGAAGCATATGTTACTTGGCTATAGAGAAAGCAGATGTTCATTTAGTGAATTGTCCTATGAGGCGCTTTTTCCCCCTCTAAACAACAGATATTTCTTTGTTTTTTATGGGAATTCAATTTGTGATTAGGAAAAAGAAAAAGAGCAGGACTCCTGTCAGTGAGTAATAATTCTCACACTGAACAATGAGTAGTCTCAGCCATGTCCTACTTCCCTGTCTACGTTTTATGATGTTGTAAGGTCAGAGAAAGGCCTTGTGCTTTATGTGGATTCCAAAGTAAAAAAAAACAAAAACAAAAACAAAAACACAAAAACCAAACCAAACCAAAAAAAAAAACCCCACAAAAAACAAAGACGAAAGGTCCAAGAGAATGTGACCTCAATCTCTGTTACTTTTAAAATTTGTTAACTTTGTATCTGTTAAATCTGCAGAGTTTAGGCTAGATACAAAGTATTTTTGTTTTTAAAACAGGCAGTTTCAAGTTTGTGTTCAATCTGAATGACAAATCAGACCACCGTACCTTGGTGAAATAATTGGAAGTGTTGCTCTTTACCTACTAGCAGCAGATTGACCCTTTTTGCTGTTCTAAAACAACATTGTTCTGTAGTGACTATATAATTTTATCATGAACCTGCATTGTGTGAGATTTGCAGTCTTCAGCTATGAAGCCACAAATAACCTTTTCAAAACTCTCTAGCCTCTCCCAACACTAAAAAAGATATGTGTGATGAGGCAAAAATAGTAATCTCTTATGATATAAAACAAGACCACTTCAACTTTTTCTTTGTAAAATTTTGTTTTATTATACACCATAACTTGTTTTCGGTCCTGAACTTTTTGGACTGATTTTATAGTGACACTTATTTTAAACAGAAACAGTACTATCCCTTGAGCTACAGCAGTGGCATTTATGCACTTGGTGAATTATTGCCAAATTGAGGGGGTGGACATGACAACACAAACAGGTAGAGAATAAAAGTATGTCCTTGTGAAATTTGCTTACACAAATGCAGACATTGATACTACAGATAATACAGATCAATATTGGGATATCAAACAAGAAAAAAATAGATGGCCTTGAGCTTAGAAAAAGATTCAAATTTGGAGAAGTATGGAATGCAAGTTAAGGTGCTTGAAAGGTTGGTAACAAGAATTTCTGCTGACAACCAAAAGCTTCTCAGTTCATAAAAAGAAAAGAGGACAGAGTTGGCGTTGTAGCCTCAGGGATCAGCGTGGCTGAGCCATTGACACATGGTGGCAAATTCAGTCCTATGATTTACCAGAGAAGTTTTTTCCAGTAGAGGTGGGAAAGGCTGTATAAAGAGTGGTGAGATCTGATCCTGAATGCTTTATGTAGTTCTTATCACTTATGCATGAAAAGGCAAAGTTTAAATTGCCAAAAAATGATGGTGAAGATGGTGAGAGAAATGGGCAGTGTACTTGGAGAAGGGACTTAAAACAGATTGTCCTGTTAACTTAGCAAAACAAAATCTTAATTTGATTTCTCTTAATAAGTGCTGGAGAAGGCAAGTAAGAATGGGAGTAATGGCTCTCCAAACTTATGGATGAAACTGGAGCAAGAACAGATTAATATAAACCACTTGTGGCTATATTAGCCCAAAAATTAGACTATGAGGTATCTAAGAGAAAAGAGCATTGTGGTTCTGAAGGAACAGTAATAAGTAAGGCTACTGACTACTTTCAAAATGGAGCTTCAAAATATTAAAGTTGTGTTTGTATAATGAAATGTATGATTACCTGTCAAAACCAGGATAGTTGCTTCAGGATTGTATCCAAAGTAAAGGGAAAAAAGGCCAGTTAAGACAGCTGCAGTTATTCTAGACCTAGACTTAGCACCTCTGCACAAATCTGTTACATTTTGACCCTGCAGAAGGTAAGTCTTGAACTGCTCAGTAGAGACTGTGAGCTATCTTTGGTGTAGCAAGCCAATTTAAATGTTCATTCTTCTTTAATTAAGGAAATTCATCTTGGACAGATTGGATAGATGTCCTACCCAGTAGATAAGGCAGTAATGTTGGATTGCCACAGAGCCTTAATATTAGGGCACAGCCTGCAGGGTTGTGTGGGGGGGTTTTCAGTTGTTTTTATTTAGTTTGCAACTACAGATGACTTTACTGAAATATGGTTTTATATCATCCTGAATGTGCAGAACCACTGCTTCATTGCCCCCACCAGAGAATTTTGTTCATGGCATATGACCCTGTCTGCACACTATGTAATTGTCGCACTGGAAACCGTATTTGCATTTTTAATGTAACTTTTTGTCCACAGTGGCAACAAAATAAATGTTTTCTTTGACCTATTAAATATTTTCTGTATGCCACCTGAACTCAAGAGTCGCTTCAGATTATGTCCCTGGGGAGTGGGAAAGGAGATCCAGCTAAAATTTAGTTATTGTTCTTCTCAAATTAAATTGGGTGAAGTGGATAAGCTTGAAGTTGACCAGATCAATAGGTCTGTTCCTTCAGACCAATGCCTGTAATCAAGCAGAGTGCTTTCAATACGTTTTTCTCAGGCTTGTTGGAGATTTAATTTAATTATGTATTTACTGCACTCAGTTAACAGATTGAGCTGCTCTCTGGAACAGTGGCTAAGAAACAACATACATTTGGAGTTTGTTTCTTACAGGTCATTAGTAAATGAGGTAATTGCTTATTTCTGTAGATTGTCTGCAGTGTGGCAGCTGATTTCATAATGCAAAGATTTATTTTACCTCTGTATTATGTTACTACATTAAAAATAAAATCTATTTAGGTCTAGGCCAGTCAATGCCCTAGAAATTGCTTACACACAGCTGGTCATAATCCTGAATCCAGTAATACAGATAAGGTGCTGGGGAACTTCTGTACCAGTTCATAGGATTAATATTATTATTACATAAGAATAAGGTTGTAATCAGGTCAGCACTATTTACAACTGCTATATGGAGTAACAGGCTTAAATAGTAGAAGAAAAAGTAATATTTGTGTTTCTATACAAAAGTCCTTTTATCCACCTGAGCATTCAGCACTGATACAGCACATAAACTCCATCATGACTGTAAAGTAAAAATTGTGGGTTTTTTAGTTACTGCCCATGAAAGTTGCCAGATGAGTAGTACCTCAGCACAGTCCTAAGCAGCTGGTTGGCATAAGAAGCAGTGGGTGTGGGAAGCATTCAGGCTTCCCTGAGGCAGTTCTGAAGAACTAAGTCTAAAGTTAGAGGCAGTTCCAGCTCTGGAAGTCTGTGAAGACTGTTCTCTGTATAAGTCATATGTCAGCTTGTTCAATTAATCAAATGCTTTTAGTTGTGAGAGTTGTTCTGTAGCTCCAAACTCAGCTGAATTCACCGAACTGACCAAAACAAAACCAGATTCCTAAACTGTCTTCAACTAAGACCTTAATGAAAACATAATCTGCAGAGGAGTAGAAAAGAGGCATTTTTTGTGTGATCCCTCCAGCTGCCCACATTGCTTCTGCTCCAGGAAACTTCATTTTAGCATGAGGACTCTCCCAAAATATGTAGATTTTATGAGCAGTTGAAACCTGTCCATACCACAGTAGGAGTCAGATGGCACAAAGCTGGCACAAGCTGTTGGCCTGTCATTGTTTTGTTGTCATTCCTATTGGAATCAGAAGGTATTGTTCCAGAGTGCTAGAGAACACTGATATTTTTTGGGCCTTTAGCGATTACTATCTGCTTTCAGAGCTTAAAGTGCTCCTGGAATTGTTCTGTCTCCTTGTCTCTTGGTGAGCACCAGAAACTTGAGGTAGCAGCCAAAAGCTGTTTCCATTCTCTGCCTCCTTCAGTTGCGTGGTATTTGCTTATGCAGCACTATCTCCACCTAGGTGTTAATGAAGTAGAGCTTTCTCCTGTTTCCAAGACTGTATGCAAAAGCTCAGTGATTAATCTGAAATTAAATGAGAGAATGCCTGAGATATGCTTTCTGCCTTCGCCTGTGTTTGTTTCTGTGTCCTGGCCTGGATCAGAACATGTCAGTTGTGCTCAGAGCTTTTAGGGAATTCACCCTTCACCTCCCATGTCACATCATCCCACATCCTTGGTTTTTGTTGCTTTGCATCCTTTATAGAGCTGCAGCACCCAGATCTTTCTGCATGAGGAACTGTTGGTGTCAAAAGCGGAGGAGCGCTTCTCCTGCTGCATAGAAAAGCTGTGTGTATAAGTAGCATTCCTGTTCTCCTGCAGCTTGTTGTGTCTGTGTGTCACTCCCTTTCTCCATTCCTCAAAGTAATTGTTCAAACAGCAGATTGATGTTTAGATCTGCCAGAGGGGTCCACTAGTGACAGTTAAGTTCTTACACATTTCTTGAAAGCAGACGTCTCTGCAGAGGACACAGATTCTGCAAGTGCCTCCTTTCAACTGACAACTGCAGGTCTAAGCTCATCCAGCTCCACAGAATTCCTTGAGGAGATGTCCCTTATAAATACCAGGAAAGACTTCTATACCATACTCAGTCAACCACAACAGACAATCTACAGGAATTCAGACCTTGCTTGTTCTGGTGCTCATGGTATAATAGAGACTGAAAATTATCTGGCTAAAAATAATCACCACTAGGCCTAAATGAAAGGTTAGAGGTGCTTTTGGCTGGGAAGGGCCATCACCACTCACAGCAGCATGAATTGTTACACTGATGTTTTGTTTGACATCTTTCCCTCCACAGATTTGCAGTATGCATGAATAAATTAGAAAATGGGGAAAGGTTCACATCCTGTGGTTTGTTGTACTTCATCTTCCTCCTAGGTATAACACGGAAAAAAAATGAAATAGTATTAAAATGCTGGGGAAAAAAGTGCTATTACTTGGAGGGTTCAAAGATACTGCATGATGAAAGAGGTCACAAGTAGGGTAGAAGCAAAAGAGTCACAAGCATGTTTGAAACTAGATTAGAAGCAAAAGGAGCAGGTGTCCTTTGAATGTGGAAATCAGTGACAAAAGCAGGCAGTTTGTAGCTCTGGTTTTTTATTTAGGATATGTTAATCAATCATGTAGTTGTGAGTATGCATGTGTAAAATACAAAGACTGAAAACATGTTCTTAGATTCATGATTACAGATAATGACAATATTTCACTGAAGTATTTTTCTATAACCCATGATGCGTTTCTGCAAACATGTCTGTGATGCCTGTTAATAACTTACAAAGTCTTTCATAAATCCAGCATTGCCGTAATGTGTCAGCCTCCTTTCTTGTCTACACTTGCTGTGCTTTTATTTAGTTCTTAAGGTATGCACAAGAAATTATGCTTAATTTCCTACTGAATTCTCAGAATTGAAAGGGGAAAAAAATGAGAAACACAGCTAAGCAATTGGTTCAATTGCTAAACATCAAATATTGATAAATAAAATTTCCAGTTACTTACATCCTTATTAATAACTTGAGAACGTGTGTTTGCTCCTGACTTCTCTTGGTAGCTAGGCTGTCCTTTGGTCTGAAGTATAATGGCTCTGTTGCCTTGTGTCTCACTTAATGACCCTGCTCCTGCTCTTTCTAAATTTCAAGCACTTTTTTATTTCTGTAATTCCTTGGACTTGCTGCAGCTGTTTGGAAGATATTTACTCTTTCCTTTTTTTAATTCTGGATTTCACAGATGTTTCCATGGATTTCTCCTTTTCCCCTCCATTCTCTACTCCTTTTTTTTCTGATCATATAATTATATCTGCCTGTCCGTCACTTTCCATCTCAATTTAGAGCTTTGAGAGTCCATGGCAATTTCCATACCCTTCTGGATGTTTCCATCTTTAAACTAATATAATGCAAGGATTCCAAAAATTTTTCTCTAAATCCTTCCTTCTTATTCCTCCCTGACTCACAAATCCACACTTTTTCTGTCTTTCAGTGGAATTTCTTTGGGTTTATTTCTATACTTGTCTTTACCCATCAGATTTTGCTAATTTTGCCATCCGTATCCTGTAAGATATTCCCTTCTTCTCTCTCCCATTTCCAAGTGTTTATTGTGTCTCGTGTGCAGTACCGCAGTTACCTTCATTCTACTAATTAGCATAATCCTCAGAATAATGTATATTACATTGGTAATGACACTAAAGAGTGTTAGAAGTATGGAGTATGGAGGATCAGACAATTTTTAATCATGCTTTTAAAACTAGTCTTTTCATAACTCATGTGTTCACCAATCCAGAGAAGAGACTGACTCTTCTGAACTCTGAGTTTTTTTGGTTTTGGGTTTTTTTAATCCTGTTCTTTGGTCATTTTTTATTTTTCCTTTCTTTACTTTCTAAGGAGATGCTGCATCTATTTACAGTGGAGATTTTGGTGACCGGAAATAGTTACTTAAGGTGTCTCTGGACAGCGTGTTGGTTGGGCAGCACAATCATGAGATTCTGGCTTGGTGCATGTGTGAATTCTGAGACTGGTAATTTTACAAGTCAATCTTGCCCTGTTATTCTCTCAGAATTACCATTCTTACTTAGCATTGCTAAAGTTAGTGCAGTTATTTATAGCAATCAATTCAGCATGAAATTTCAGAAATAGGGGCCTGAATCAACACATCAAGAAGTATAGATGAGCAGGCAGCTTCTTTAAGCTGTGGTTGCTTCTATGATAAAATATTAAAGCAGTGAGTTGCATAGATTAATGACTGTGCTGTGCTCTGAGTTTTCTTTTAGAAATGCTTTCCTGAGAAATCTTTGCATGTGGCCTTAGCTGTGTTCATTTTTCTTCCTGTTGTTAGTGTTTTACAGGTCCTTAAGAATAATTGGCTTTGTAATCACGGCCAATAGTTGCTGCTCACTAATAAAACATAGACTAAAGGAAACCTATCTGCATTAAATTTTTGTACAATACTGTCTTTGCACAAGGAAGTTTTAAACTTTAGAGTCAATGAATGCTTAGCATTTAAACAACTTTAACACTCTCTTTCCTGATTGCACCTGAATTTAGAATGTTGTTTGCTTTTGGACTGAAATTGTCCAGGACTAGCTTCTGGGCATAGGTGAATATTGCAGCAATTTTTAAATCAGACATTGAAATGAGGATTTGATTTTACAAAGAATACGGTAGTGGTCTTTCTGTTTGTTTGCTTTTAAATGGTACTGTAGCTTAAGCACTTGTGGAATTTAGTTTGGAACAGCCTGTGTTAAAAGAAATAGTAATAAATAGTAATTTTAATTTAGTGAAGTTTTGAGGTCGCTTATTCTTTTTTTTTCAGTGTTAATGCCACAGTACAAATCCTATCTGCACTGACGTTCCACATCTGCAAGCAAAAATATGCATGCATGGTTAATTTCAGCTTTATGCATATCAACAGGCTGAAATGATTGGTTTGCATCAGTGGAGCACTTCTGTCCTTAAGGTTTGCATTAGTGCAGCTGTACCTATGTTGAAATTATATATGCCTTTATGAACAAAGGAGGCCTCAGCTGTAAAAATGTAGAAGATACCTGCTATAAATATGCACTTTATACACTGCTCAGTTAACTTCATGATATAACTGCAGCTAAGACGTATAATTCTGGGTCAAGCACCCATATCCATTTTTCAGCAAGCTCCTTTAAACACTGGGGATTTGATCTGAGGTTTTGTGTACTTCATTTGTTTGCATTCATATTGGTTAAGATGTAGCACTTCTCCACAACTGAACAGGGAACTTATGAGTGCAGTTAGGCTTTTTGTGCTTGTGCTTTTGTTCTTGCCACCTACAGCTTTTTATTAGCAACATGCAGTTGTTGCACTCTTTTATGTAAAACACACAGGGTTTTTTTCTTTTTTTTTTTGTAATTTGCAAATACCTGAAATTTCTTTTGATGGTAAGTGCTCAGGCAGCCTAACCTTCAGTTTGCGTTCAACAGAGGGAGAGAGGCAGGAATACTCTTGAGGGAGTAGAAGCAGACGGTAGAGGATTGCAGGAGGCATAAGATACTGCTTTGGTGACTGGAGAGTGTTTCAACTTTAACTCTTTCCTCAGTGCAGTAGGTTGTAGAGATCTGTTTATGTTGTGCAGAGAATACACAACTGCTGCAGCTTCAAGCAGAGGTTGATTGAACACTGCCCATGTGCACCCACCATCCATGTGCACCTACAGGGAAGAAAGCCCAAGCTTTAATGCTACTTGCATATTTTTTGACTAAAGTATTTCTGCTTGCTTAATCATTTCTTTGTATGAATGTATTGTATTTAGTATAAAATCCCACCTTGTTTTACACAGTAGGAGTCAAAATTGTATTTCATGCTATGTACAGGGGGATCAAATGGTCTGAACTTTTATTTTATTGGACTTATGTTAAAATTTCACCAGTTCTGTTTTGCAGAGGAACTGTTCCATCAAAATCAGCACAGAAACCTGCATATTGAAGGAAAACTCTGTTTTCAGTGGAATTTCCTCTTTCGATGGTTTCCTGCCCCTTCTTTCATCTCACGCTCTGTGTTTGAAATCTGTGGGAAATATGAACTCTGTCACTTTACCTTGTGGCATAATTGTTGTGTTAAGCAGACAATTTATTCTTTGACTGTTAAGAACTATTCCAATGTAAACACTATAATCTTTAGCTCAGCTATAGTTTGGCTCCTGCAGACCTTTCTTTTTTTTTTAACCCTGCAGTACTGAGAATCTTTTGACATCAGTTCTGCAAGTATCTGATGTGTGATGAGGACCATGCAGTGTTTGCAGTGTGTGTTTACAAAGAGCTTCTGCAGGCTGTTGTTTGAGTACTTTGCTGGGGTTTTTTTGTCTGTACATTGTTCATTGTATGGTGGCTTTACTTAACTGTACTTTTTAAAGCGTGATTAATGTTTGAATGTCTTTAACCTTTAAATATGACAAGGTCATCCTCTGATTTATTGATGTCAAGAGGGTTTTTTTCAACTAGAGTTTTCCATTACCAGCAGGAGTGCCATTGGATTTGTTTAGGCATCATTATCTTAGGCTGGAGCATTAGCTTTACCCCAGAGAGAATAATTTCTATACATACAGTACAGCTGCACTGAAGGGGTTATATAAAACAGGCTGAAACTTTGAGTAATTACTCTACAGTATTATATCTGCCTATTTCCATATTGCAAATAGTTTTTAAAAACTGAAAATAATAGAATTTTAAAATAACCTCCACTCATCTGCTCCTCACATGAAAACTTCACAGCCACCAGGGTGCAAAAATATAACTTCTATGCTGAAGCCAGAAGCAGTTAAACTTGCTTAGACAATGAGAAAAATCTCCAAACTATTTAAACCATATAAGTGGGAGAATAAGAATGATGTGTTTTACTGTAGGTTCGAGAGCTGCAGACACGTTTGCAGAGCGTGCAGGCAACGGGCCCGTCCAGCCCCAACCGTCTCACTTCTGCCAATCGACCCATCAACCCCAGCACGGGAGAGCTGAGCACCAGCAGCAGCAGCAACGATATTCCCATTGCCAAGGTGAGCTTTTGTGTGTTTCAGTAACCCTTCTCATTATCTGGGGAAAGCAGGTCTCTTTTTGCTCAGTGCAGGAATAACTGAGAGGTATCTAGAATCCCTAGAATGTTTCCTAAGCAGGTCTGTGAACTTGAACTGTGGGAACGAATTAAGTGTTAATGATTGTAGTTCTCTCAGTTACAGTACAGGGGTCAATTTTTTAGTAGTTTACTTCAGTTTTGCAAGTGTAACTAGAGCGCAGATGCATTTTGTGTAAATGTCATGAACTTTATTGCTGTGTAACCTGTGCAGCATTCTGACTTACAGATTGCTGAAAGAGTGAAGTTGTCAAAGACAAGATCAGAGTCTTCATCATCTGATAGACCTGTCTTAGGATCAGAAATCAGCAGCATAGGGGTAAGAACTAATAATTATGTGCATGCATGATACTTTCTGAAGATGACCTGTGTTCCAATAAACGAAGCATTGCTTTCTTAATAAATTAATATATGGACTGACTGAAAATACTTTAACTTTTAAATAACTTTAAAAGTTGTTTAGAGGAAAATATTTCAGCAAGGAATATTTCACCTAGTATTAAGATCTCATTTTCTCCTAACTGGTGGCTAGAAATCATTCTCTACGTGACTTCAAGAGGAGTAATTTCCTCCAAAATATTTTTCAAGAAGACTCTCCAGTTGCATTTCACAACTTCCAACAGTGAACTGGGTTCTGCTTTGAAATGCCAATGTAAATCAATAATGCTGCTGTTACTGTGTGTTAATATTTGTTTTACTGAAGAACTTGGCTCTAACCTTTTGCTCAGCTTTCAAGAACATAAATAGCTTGCATAGTAGGCTTTTTAAATGTATGATGAAATAGTGGCCTTCACCCTTGGTTAGCAGAATTTTAAAACAAAATGGCTTCTAAAAGTGGAATCTTATAAATATTCTATTCAATGTAAAATTCATAACAAAAACTGAATAATGAATGCCTTGAAGTGAGTACATGTGAACAAATGCAGTTCTCAATGCAGAGTGCTTTTGGGAGAAATCCAGTGGTTATCTATTCACAATAATCTATTAACTGCCCTTTGCAGGTGTCTAGTACTGTGGCCGAACATTTGGCACATTCCCTCCAAGACTGCTCAAACATCCAGGAAATCTTCCAGACTCTCTATTCACATGGATCTGCTATCTCTGAAAGTAAAATTCGAGAGTTTGAAGTGGAGACAGAGAGATTAAATAGGTAAGGTGGAAAGTTAGATAATGCTCACATGTGTTGCCTTCTAGCTTTGTTAAAGTTACTGCATTTTTATCCTTTTTGAACATCAGTCCAAGCTCAACTGTGCAATTGCAGATAAACATAGAATGTAGGTGCTGAAGAGAAGATTGAATCATATGCAAAGGATTCTTTCCATGAGTATGACAGTTTGGTTGTGTGTTACTAGATCAGCCCAGCACCTTCACCTGTGACAGTTTGTACTGTGGAGTGTCCCTCTCTGTGGGTAACCAAATAGTCATGGCATCTTTTTTCATAAGACACATCACTGATAGAAATAGGGATTCCCATAACATAGTCTCCACCATTCTGGAGTTAGCTTGCTTTGTTTTGTCCTGAAGAAACAGAACAATCACATTAACTGTATCCATAAATGTATTCATGTGGTGGTGTGGCATATATACCAGTAAATAGATTTCTGTCTGCAGAAGAGTGATTGCAGCTTTCTGGTTGTAGTTAAAATATTGCTGGTGTTATCCTTCAATAAGCTCTATCAAAACCAATGCTTCATGTCTTTTTTTGGCACATAAAGATCAAAAAGGTGGATCAGAAACATGAGAATCGTGTTTCTGGCCAAGATCTCTCTTCCCCACAGCCACCTCAAATTTAATCTGATCAGTAAAATGTCTCTTTTATTTATAACTCATGTTTTTGTAGTGTTGCAAAATGTGATCTTTGTTTCCTTCTTGGTTTTTTTTTTCTGTACATTGCACAATTATGCTTTGACAGCATGTATCTTTATAGAAGGTGTCAAAAGAAGATACAGTAAGTGAAGCATCTGAAAGTCAGGACTTTATTCTGATCACTGAATAAAGGGTATACTAGCCATTCTCATTCTTCTTTATTAGGAAGTCAGTGATTTTAGAGTCCTCCATGGAACTGATTTCTTCATTAGCTACTTGTCCAAATTTTGAAATTTTTTGCCTGTTTTTGGCATATATCCACCTTTTACATTTAGGCACAGTACACTGATGTGTAGTGCAGTTATTGGCACAGAGAATAAACAGTAATAATTATATTCTGAAGCTTCATATTCAGCTTTAGCCTTATTGAGAAGAGTATTACAATGTAGCTTCTGTTCCACTGTTACCAGAACGTTTGGAGATTACGTTGCCTCACTGAAACCTCATTCATAGTTTGGAAGTTCCCTCTCTAATCACAACTAAACCATGACTTCAGGTGATTATTCTGGATTTTCCAAAGAAAGGAGGCATTTGTGCAACTGCATGATCCCTACACACCCCCCTAATTGCACTAGTGAATATGCCACTTCAAACAAGAAGCAAATGTAGCAGCAGGAAGTGAGGAATTGAGGCAGCAAAATTGAGCAAAAGGTTAATATGAAACTGTCCTATGCAGTCTTTTACCCTAACAAAAAAGGGTATAACCTTGTGCTTGCTGCTGTTGCACAGTGTTGTGATTATGCTTTATGGGAAGGTGAAAAGAAGAAGAAGCTGTACTAAGAGAAATTTCTATCCTCTTGGCTCTTGATAAAGGGATACAGAACTGATGGAGTTCGCAATCTTCATTAAAAAAAAAAATAAAATGCGTAGACCAAATGGTTTTTGTTGTTTTAAATTATGGTTGTTCTAGAATTTTCAGATCACTGACTGCAAGTTAAGCTTGAAGGTTGCAAATTACTTCCTTTTCTACAGCCGTATTGAACACCTGAAATCCCAGAATGACTTACTGACAATAACACTGGAAGAATGCAAGAGCAATGCTGAGAGGATGAGCATGCTTGTTGGGAAGTACGAGTCCAACGCCACGGCCCTCAGGCTGGCGTTGCAGTACAGGTATGTGCCTACACACATGGTATCTCAGAAAAAGAGGGAGCCAAGGCAAAACTTGACAGAAGCTTTCCAGAGTGAAGTTGTTGGTGTGCCATAATAATACTGTTTCTTTTTGTTTCCTTGCTGAAAAAAAGTCCCTTTAGTTAAACTACTTGGCAGACTACTGAACTGAAGTTACTGATACACTGTATTTCAAGTCTAGTTCTCCAGCATCTAAAAGAAATAGGCAGATTTATCTCTTCATTTTTAAATACTGAATTAACATTTGAATTAATGATTGTGTGTAGGCTCAGGCTATCTCTGCTGAATCCGGTCTTAAGATACAGGTTCTCTGTATTAGGCACCTTTCACAAGACCAGTGGGCCAAACAATAGTATTGGACTCCACATAATTCAGAATGACTTTGTATCGCATCAGTTGGAAATGTGGATTAATTGCTTAGTATTTGGTAATAAGTATCTAAATTTGCTTCAAACTATATGTAAAAAGGTGGATGTCATTTAACCTTCAGCTGCAAGTAATTTGGAACAGGCAGTTCTGGTCTTAAGACAAACTGTGTGCCTTTAAAAAAATGTGTTTTCTTACCATCAGCCTTGAGCAAATTACTAGGAAATGTAAATTGCAAATAGGTATACTTTTTTATATATATATATAAGTATATAATAATTTATTTTTTTTTCAAAAAAACTGTTAGAATGCAGCGTGAATGAGTGACTCACAACTGTAGTTGGAAGCTGTTTTGTTGTAAGGAAGAAAATCTTACAGCCAGGACAGATCAAGAAGTATTTTTCATGTATCTTCTTTACTTCTTACTACAGTCTGTGTACTGCAATTATCTTGTAGAGTATAGAATGCTGTATTTTGTATAGTAAGAAGGTCTGGGAAAAGTTTCACAAAGGGATCATGTTGACCACCATTTATATTGGTGTTTCAAACATGCTTCTGGAACTTCCTTCACATCAGGTCATTCTCTTCCCTTTTATCTTGTTACATTACTTGAGGTCAACCTGGCACTGTCATAAGGAGGGAGAGAATGTTGAATGCCTGTGATAGGAGATATATGTATTATGTTATTTAATATCCCTGCTGTTAGACAAGCAGTAGAGAATCATACATACCTCTGTTGTTTTTGTTGTTGTTGTTCTTGCAGGTATTCTTCCTTTCTAAATTACAGGTGATATTTTGTGTGATTTTTGTTTTCTGTAGTTTGTTTTCTCTTTCAGTGAACAGTGCATAGAAGCATATGAACTGCTGTTGGCATTGGCAGAAAGTGAGCAGAGTCTTATTCTTGGGCAGTTCAGAGCTGCAGGTGTTGGTTCTGTTGGTAAGATGTCAATGAATCACTTCATTTAAATTTTTTTTTTGCATGTCAGTCAGCATTAGAGTTAGTTGCAATGGTGAATCATCTCATGACCCATTACTTAAGAATGCTCTCTGGTCTTTTCTTGTTTTTAACTAATTAAATTATTTTACAAAGCCCAAAAACAAAGGAAAAGGAAAAGAGAGGAATTTAAATTCACCAGTGGATGCTGTCACAAGGGGATGCCTGGCAGGGGTGAGACTGCTACAGGCATGTAACTATACGGAGTGGAATAGTTAAATAATACTTGTGAGCATATGTGGCTTAGGGCCACACAGCTGTGGTAACTGCAAGTGTGGATTCTGTTTGAACTGGTAAGACTGACCCCCCAGAAACTGATGAAAAAATCGGATTAAGACAATACTATGATAGCATTGAGTAATTACAAATAAAAAATAAAAAAGCTGTAATTTTTCACATCCCACCCATTTTACCTTTGCTCTTAAGTTTTTAAATGTTCTATCTTCTGTTTTACTCTGCTGTTGGGGATATTAGCCTGTATGTTCTGGATTTCTCTTATTTTGTGGTTAGTTAATCTTGTGGCTAAGTGTTGGTTTTTAATATACTGCTTGCTAAGAAATGGAACAAGCCACTACCATAGGTTCAGTACAGTTCAGAAGTGTGTGGAGCTTGACATTGCTGTTGGCTCCACTTTTCTGATAGAAAGACGTGTTTACACGATGAAAGTTAAATCTGGATGTCATAGTCCCATTCCTTCCATTGATAGGAGAAAGCAGCCACAATAATCTTAAAGCAGAAAGTAGAGAAACCTTCAGAGAGAGAAGAATAACCCTTCATGCTGTCCTGAGGCATAGTAACTGCCCAGTGGGTTAATGGCAGTAGCTTCTCAGGAATCACTGAAATGTAAATGGGAAACTTTTAGAGACAGAGTGACCATCTGGTTTTAGAGCCACAGGACTGACATGGTTGGTCTCTTGTTTCAGATGACTGATGCACACAGCCTGCAGTCACTGTGCTGCTCTCCATGCCCCTTACTTTGTATCTTCTGCCGTGCTCAATGCAGGCCTTTGTGTACTCGTTTCACCTGTGCAGTGTGTGCAGTGCACCAAAAAGTAAAGGGGATGTCTGAGATTTTCTTCCACTTTTCTTCCAAGCTCTGGTCATTCTTTTCCACAATGCACTGGGGGGGCTTTTCCCTGCTGGTGGAGATCAGTGAGCAGCAAAAGTAAATTCAGTCTTGGGTTTTCTGTTCATGTAGGAGGCAGAAAGAAATTTTTGAAGGGAGAAATACTTTGAGTTTCAGTAGGATTTCATCTGACATGCATTTTATGAAAGAGACTGTAGTTTAGTTTTTGTGTAGGTGTCTGTCTACAGCTCTTAATTATGGTATTACCAGTTACAGCCCTGAGAAAGAAATAGTGCAAATTTCCCATTACATAACACAGCTTGGAGGAAGTTGTGTATGGGTTTTGTACCTTTACTTCACTGTGAAATTTGATTAACACACCTAGGTAAAATAACAGATATTTGGTTTGAAGATCAGTCAAGCTTTATATCAACATCCGTGAGTGGAAAATTCATGGGAGTTGCATCACTTAGATCTGAGCATATCCAACTTCTCTTAACGTTCACCCTTCCTTCTTCCTCATTAATGTTCTTTCTAGTGCATGCACTTCACTTAGCAAGTGTGAAGTATGGGTAATTGGTCTTTGACTTGAACAACGATGAAATGAAAATCTGACATAGAGCAAAGTGGTTTTTTTTTAATCTCTGACATATTTGTATTGTGTTTGGTAAAATATTAATATATTGTACCTTTAATTTACAAATATATTTGTAGATTTTCTGTTTAGCCAATAATGTGTCTTACTTTAATGACTTGAGGGCAGCTGGAGGACTGTAGGAGTAGCGACAGTGGTGGTTCAGTCCTACTTCTGCTGAAGGGATGTCTTACCAGCTACACAGATGCTGTATAACCACTGGAAATTATAGCAAATTAATAAACACCATTGCTAGTTTTCTTTTGGCCTAATATGCATGGCTGTAAACTCTGAAAGGCTTCTTTTAGGCAGTAAGGTAATTCTTCCAGCTGGCAAGGTAACCTGTAAGAAGGTGTTCTGGCGAACCATTAGGCTTGAGGTCAAGGTGTTTTTGAGAAGAAACCCTGGAAATGACCGCAATGTGGAACAGCACTGCACTAATTGGAGAAAGAGTTGTCATTTAGGCTCAGGCTTTTTCAGTGTGTTAATAATTTGAGCATCTGAGCCTAATCTTAATGCACAGTGCACATCCTTACAAACAGAGAAGCTGGCTAAAATAATACATCTCTTAAGACATGTACAGGGAACAAAAAATACCTGGAACTTGTGACTGGGACAGAAGTGCATTCCAGGTCAGTAGCCCAGTTACCACAGAAGTGAAGTTGCTTTTACCTCACATATTGGTAATGTATTTTCATAGTTTTTGTATAAACTAAGAGCATGTGGAAAGATCTTTATTCTTGCTTTAACTTCTATCACCTTCCTCAAAGCTCTGAAACAGATTTTTTGCTTGAAAACTAGGGGACCAGACAGGTGATGAAAACATCACACAGATGCTTAAGAGAGCTCATGACTGCAGGAAGACAGCTGAGAATGCAGCAAAAGCCTTGCTAATGAAACTAGACGGGAGCTGCGGGGGAGCCTATGCAGTCACTGGCTGCAGTGTACAGCCCTGGGAGAGCCTCTCATCCAACAGCCACACAAGGTAAATGCAGCTCCTCTGCTCTCCCAGTCCCCAAGTGTTTGATTTCAGACCAGAAGTTGTATTGTATTTGCTGTTCTGCCTTCCTCACATCAGTCCTTCAGTTTCTGTGCTTTGATTTGTAAGTCACCATGCCTCAGTGGTCTGATTGTCTTTAGACTTTGAGCAACTCCAGAGAAGAAGGGTTTTGTATAAATTTGTTGCAAGTGGGTGACTCTGGACTTTGATCTTCGTCATAAAGGTCAAAACCATTACGTTTGTTTTACTTCACTGGCTTTGTGGCTGTTTGGTTGGAACTCAAATCACGTACTTCGTATCTATTGTATGTGGACAGCACAGACATACAGAGAACCAGAGATCTGAAGTATGCTTCCACTGGCATTTTGGAGTGCTCAAGAATTGTTTTTTTAAATGTTGCAAGCCTACCCATTTTGTTTTAAACCATTTCCTCTCCCTTCTCATTACCCTTTGCCCCTCCTCCAAATTATTCCTTCCCATGCTGTTCTTTTCACAAGTGGAGTGGAACAGAGAGAGTCCCTCCTGGAGAGACTGAATATTCCAGTTTCTCTGAAGACCTATAAAATAATGAAACTTATATGAGCTATTATTGCAGAAGTGTTCCGGTTCAACTACATCTGCCAGCAGCTTCATTTTGAGTTTTTGCCTGCCATTGGTATAATTGTACTCTGTGTGCTTCTGTATGGATACAAATTTGGCAAGCGTCCTGGATAAATATAGATGAACATTTTTCTTTTTAAGCATTATTTTGGTTTCTTAGATTCACTCTGAAACTTCATTTTAATTCAGTTTTTGAGCCAGTTCTTTATTCAAATGCTGTAATTTTTTTTGACACTTCAGAAGTTTGTTTTAGTACTGTATCATTTCCTCTTCTTTCTGATGCCTCCTCCAAAGGTTCTAGTTTCCTGCCATATAACTGGCATGGAATAGATAAAAAGTGAGCAAAAAGGTAACCTGAGGGAACAGGGTCCTGATGTGAGGTAAATTTTAATGTTTTATTCAGAGAAGTTTTGTGGTGCACTTTCAGTCCAAGAAAGCTGTATCTTTAGGTAGAAATTATGGTGGCTGCACCTGTGCTGGTAAAACGCTGATCGCCCATTGTACCAAAAGCATTAACTAGCCTTGGAAAGAAGTTACAAAAAGCTGTTCCAAGTGTTTGACTTGCCATGTTTTATGCCATTTCTACACCCATATGTGAACGTGTTGTATGTGGCTACATGTAACACCTCTACCTAAGTTGGGGGACCCCTGGTGGTCTAGTGGTTAGGATGCGACGCTCTTACCGCCGCAGCCCGGTTCGATTCCCGGTCAGGGACACTCCCCCGGGCAGATGGAGCTCGTCAGCCCTGTAAGGCCATCCATCTACGAGAAGGTCACTCTAAACAAACCTGCGTCCTGAGGACCTCACTGCCATTGTCCAAGCTCACTTGGCCCCGGCAGATGAACCTTAGGATTAAAGGGTGGGCTCAGTTCAGCGCATGCTGTGTCTCACCTAAAAAATCCATTGCGCAGGCTTGAAAGGTAAAAGACCTTTCCCAAAATCTTCGTTCGCGAAGACTGGCCATACTATACTATACCTAAGTTGACCTTGTTTTCCATTCTGCTGTTTGAAAGGGCCATTTTTGGTTGGCCATAACTACCTCAGTGTTTTTTTTCCTTGTGACATATCTGTCATGTAGTCAAAGCATAATTTTTTTTTTTCTTGAAGAACAATTTAGATAGTTTCTGGTATTGACAGGGGAGAATTATGGACAAGGAGGGGTTGTTCCTGTTTTAGTGTTTGCTCTCATAGTCTTTCATTGCAAGTGTTTGGAATATGGTCTCTATAGTCCTTGCTTTCTTTAACATAATTTTTGGGGGTTTGAGGAGGAGGATAAGAGAGGGAGATATTTGTATTTGTGTCTGTGCACATTGTTCACCATGAACATTTGGTGGTCAGCTGGCACTGTGTGTATATTTACATGTAACATGTGAACTGAGGAATTAAAGTTTCAGCAGAGTATGTTTAAAGTGGCATAGGATTTCAAATTTCATCACTATAAATTATGTCATGAAATGTAAAAATGTGATTGTAAATATTCATATGCACAAGAGAGACATTTTAGCTTGAGTCATTATCATTGTAGGCTATTTTTTCCTGGCATGGAGCAGAATACTGTACTGAATAAGGTAACTCTTATTATCTGGTTTGGTATATGTGGAACATAAGACAGAAAAGCTTCTGTCACTCACCCAAAGGGCACGCAAAAGTTAGGAATTTGTCATATGGGCACCCTGATCTGATTGTCACTTATATGTTGTTGTCCCTCTCCCCTCCTGCCATGCCAAATGTAATTTTGTCTTAGCCTAAACATACATGTATCAGTGAAAATATTTTTGAAACTTCAGCTTCTCCAAAAAATACAAATCTTCTTTCCTTCTGTTCAGATCTGTGCTGGTTTAAAAGTTAACCAGCAAGGCAAAATGAACTCAATTCAAAAGAGAGATTTATAAGTCAGAATAACAATTTATTAAAATAATGCAATAAGTACAATTATACAGACAGACGATTGGTTTTAATCCACAAAACCCAAATGTACAAACCCAGCACCCTGGGGTATGAACAAAAGTGGTGTACCTTGGCCCACCCCCCGAGTCCAAAGCAAAGGGAGAGGGAATAAACCTGCTGGTGGGAGAGCTGCTGCAGTCTGGTCAGAAGTGGTGATTGCAGTCCAGTCGAGGGTGGTGGTCTCAGCCTGGTTGGGAGCAGCGGTGGTCTGCTGTCTTCCTCTGGGTCCCACGAGAGAGAGAGAGCCAAGGCTCTGAAACTCCCAGTTATATACTCTCCAGTTCAGGCGGGAGTGCTCAGTCCCTCCCTCAGAGTAGGGAATTCCATAAAAGGGCATGTGGATGCTCAGTCCCTCTTATCAGAGCGGGGAATTCCATATAAGGATATCAGAGCGGGGAATTCCATAAAAGGGTACAGGAACATCTTCCCACCTTGCAGGCCTCTACTGACAGCAGTTTTTGGGAAATGGCATGGAGGCTATAGAATACACAGTTTTGGGTTACACCCATCCAGGGATGAATTGGTCCCAGCC